TGATAATCAGAAAGACATCGAATTGAAGGCATGGATCAACTGAAGTGATAATGACTTCAATTGACACTCAAAACAATGTCTCACCAGTGGATCAGATGTTGTGAACGCATGCGCTTTGACACCAAAAATGCAAATTGTTTTCAAAGTTTTTGAATTAAAAAGTTTTTAACAAATTATTTATTGATTTATATTTGACAGCATTTTATAACTAATAAAATCTATTGTGTTTTGCATTACATTTGTCGCTATGTTTGTAGTCTAAACACTCAACCCATAACCACTTCTAAAGTATAAGTGTTTAAAGTGATTGAAATCACCAGGATACTTGTTTTAAGGATGCACTTAACAATTGAATGCAGGTTTTGTTTATTTTACTGATTGTAAGGATATATAAAACTTTTTTATCCATAGATTAGAGTAATGTTTATTTAATGCAATATAAATGAGATCACAGATTATAAACCAATTATAACTTATGATTGAATAAAGAATTTTTTTTATTAAATTTTTGTTTAAAATACAAACAAGTTTAGCAGTTTTTGTTTAATTTTAAAAAATCTAATGATATAACATCAAGCATGACAAAAGTATAAGAATATAAAATAAAAATTTATTTTGAGAGATTTAATGTCAAAACACAAAATTTAAAGTTTAAACTAACTTATCACAGAATATTATATTTATATCAAATGAATTATTAAAAGTACAAATATAGGGTTTGGAAATGTTGACTAATTTGTTAACTAAAACATTAATAGTATATATACCTGCTCTAACTATTCAGATTTGTACTTATTGGAAAAATAATGAAAATTAGTTTGATTTAAAATATTGTATGAATTATAATTTAATACCGGTAATAATAAGTCTAATAATAAATTGAATTTATTCAATGAACTTGTCAATGAAATTATAAAATATAATGACAATCTTAAGGCAATGATAGAAGTTAATATTACAACAGGTATGCCTCCAATAGGTCACACCATACTGTGGTATTACTTAGAGTCAATTACTAATAGAATATTAATTTATTTGATTCATTGGTTTATTTAATTTGATTTGAATTAACATTTTACAGCAATTAATGCAAAAGTGGAGCTAATAATCAATTATATAATAACTAACAAATAGACGAACAAAAGCAACAATTATTTAGTAAAACATAAGGAATGACTAGTTTTGTGAGACTGTCTGCCAAATCCAAGCGGAGAAAGTGGATGTCCGGGCGCTGACCGATGGGTAACTACCGGCGCACTGAACACCGAAGGATGTGGCGCCGTATGAGTAGTATTTGCCGACACATACTATGGCGATCACATTGTATTATGCAAATATGCTGCAATATTACCCGTATACTAATTGTTTAAATGTACTGTATTTGAGAAATAATCACAAATTGTTTTATAAATTGTTATCAAAAAATAAATAAACGGATTATCTATTAAGCCATTAATATTAATAAAGATGTAATTGATATCAAATAAATGAGTCGTTTTCCAGTTCTCATAAAATTGATTATAAGATTAGTGATAATAAATAATTTAATCAGTGTAATATTGTTTAAATAATAGCAAAAATTAAATTGGCTAAACACTCTAGTATAATTTGAAACTTACCAATATCATATAATTGACAGATATTGAGAATTTATATGATATTGGTAAGTTTGAACATTTATATAGAAATTAAAACATTTTGTTAATTAAAAAGAATTTTAATTTATCGAAAAACAGGAATTGAAATACATTTCTAATCATATATGTCTTTATAAACACTTTACTTGATGAATTAAAAGTGATAGTAAATTGAATAATACGTTTAATTTATTTATGATAAATTGAATTACGGTAAGTGTATCATAAAGTTGTACTGAATATAATCTAGTTCTTTTGCAACATTTTTATGCTTAACTTAAAAAAAATTTACTTAAATAAGTAATTCATTACAAATGCCATAAATAATCTAAAACTTTATAAATCTGTTAATTTGAGATGTAATGAAATTTTGAAATTAAATTCGGCCATACTTTTAATTAAGTATAAGCCATATGTGTCCCAAACGGTAACCTAACCTAACCTAACCTATACTTCTGAGTGTCTCTCTATCTCTTGGTCTGCTTACGTGTACTAAAAGTATTGTCTCTCAAAACTAATTGTATTTTTATGTTCAAGTTTTAATAAAGCAATTATTTATACAAAACGGTTCTACCCCTAAAAGGCCTAAAACCGAAAAGGCCTAAACTCAAATAACTAACTGACCAGTGGACATATTTTTAATTAGATTAGTGGAATAGATGTGTCTTGACCTAACCTAACCTAACCTAACTTAAATTAAGCCAAATGACAATTGGTCAGTTAGTTATTCAAGTTTAGGCCTTTTGGGTTTTAGGCCTTTTGGGTTTTAGGCCTTTTGGGTGAGTCCCGTTTTGACACAGTATATGTAATTAATTATGTGCATGACCATTTTTCTATCATCTTTTCAGTTAGGAATTATTTGAATAATAAAAATTTATTCATATAATTTCCTGTCTATTATATTATTGTTATCATTATTGTCCCAATCGTTACAATGAGAGGAATGTTTGTATTTCTAGTCATTTGTGGTGTGTTTGGCACATCTCTTGCTGCCAATCACACACTTTGTGGCCAACAGGGTATGTCATATACAGACAATTAATTATTTTACTAAAATCAATTGATTGAATAGTAACCAAGGTGAATGACGATTCGAGTCACTATGTGGTGGGAGGTGTGAACGCTAACCCCCAAGAGTGTGACGGCAGTTGTCTCGGCTCCTACACCTCGGACTCCTATTTAGGTGTTTATGAAAAGTATGCCATCAGTACGGACTCCGAGCCCTGCGCTCCCATAGGAAAGTATGACTTTGTATTCAATTTTGAATACTTTTTGTACGGTTTTCATAAATTGTGAGTAAAAGCGAACTAACCTTTGATTGAATGGACTTTTAGGGCAATTCTCGAGAAGGGCGGGAATGCCATCGACTCTATGATATCTGTGTTACTGTGTATGGGAGTCACGATTCCCGAGTCCATGGGTTTGGGTGGCGGTGCCTTAATACTCATTTATAACGGTAATCACTTACTTA